TTTTTTTTGGGGGGGGGGGGGGGTGTAATTATTAGTAATTAGTTAACTAGCCTACTAGTTACTGGGGAAAGTAATATTGTTACTGTTATGTTATTACTAGAAATGCCTCCTGCCACAAGTAAATTATTTGTATTATCTTTCTTCCTTTAGTCCCATCTTATGTTAGCTCCTCGCCCTTCCTCACCAGCAGGATGCTCTCCCAGGCCATCCATCGTATGGGCAGCACTGCCCGGCCCTGGATGCGGTAGTAGTCACTGCTGTACAGGTTTCGGCTCATCCCGAAATCGGCAATCTTAATAGTGAGGCGCCGGTCCAGCAGGCAATTCCTGGTGGCCAGGTCGCGGTGCACAAAGTTCAGAGACGCCAGGTACTTCATCCCCGACGAGATCTGCACCGACATGTGGAGGAGGTCGGACAGACTAGAGGGAGGGAGGAAAGGAAGGAGGTGAAGGTTTGGTGAAAAGATGGAAGTGACAGTGGAGGACTGGGGAATTCACGTAGGTTCTTTCGTTCTTCTGTAAAATAGTGCTAATCATGGATCGTGTTATGCATCTTATGTTTGCATTAAAAACAACATGAACCCGATGGATTGAAAAGTTCAGATAGCATGAAGTGTGACTCTATTAGCATGTTAGCATATTAACCTGACTGAAGGGATGTTGTTGGCATGTGTCAGCGTGCTCTCGATCTCCCGCTGTGAAAGGAACATGTTGAGGTCTCCGTTCTCCATGTATTCGGTCACCATGCACAGTGGGTCGGATGACACGCACACGCACAGCAGCCGGATGATGTTGGGGTCGTTCAGACGAGACATGATCTTTATTTCCTTCAGGAAGTCGTTCCTGATGGACAGACAAATGGACAGGGAGGAGAGGACACAATTTCAGGTCTAGCCAGACAACTTCATTTGAGATACTTTCAGTTTCCTGTTTTGGACTGTTTTGTTTTTTTACCATTACTGGAGTCGAAAGAAAAACAAAAAACTAAAAAAGCTGCTTTAATTTGCGGTTTTGTAGGTATGAGCTGTTGAGGATTTCTGCCAAAAGATTTCTTTGCTGAGGCCACCAAACACCTGATTGATTTAGTCGCTACATGGCAGCCTAAACAATAGCCACATTCACTAAATATACAGCATCCATTGTATTAAACTTATTGTATTATGTTAATGTAGAGAAACTAAAGAAACAAAGGTCATAGATCAACACACATAAAAACACTGTCACACACACAGACACGTTGTGTACCTGGCTTGGCTGGTAGCATCGGCCCTCAGCTGTTTAACAGCCACCAGTACCGAACGTCCATCCCTATCAGGGAGAGGTGACCCCTCCCCAAGGAACTCTGGGAGTCCCTCGGCCTCACACAGGTGGACCTGCCGAAGACATGTGCGTACAAACATAACCATGGACGCTAGTAGACTACTTTTAGGCTACTTTTTCTGAGACAAACAACTTTCTTACACATACACATTCCCTTTCATTTAAGAAATACCAGTCAGATTGGAAGAAATTGAGGCAACAGAGCGCTGTGTTTTAAGAAGAATCAAATGCACGCATCAATACATTTTCTAAATTCTTTTAGACTTTGCCCACAAACTTTTAAGGATTTTAAATGCTCCCTCTTCTTCTGTGGCTCGGCCCACTCCCTGCTCACCTCTCCAAACTGCCCCTCCCCCAGTTTCTCCCTGAAGATCAGCTGTTGCCGTGGGAACTCGGCGGCAGAGATGTCCTTCCTGGTGAGAGAGTCCACGGTGAGAGCGGGGACGGCATACATGTTGCTGCCGGTGACGCCCTGCAACCGCACGATGTCCGTCTCAGCATAGTGCGGCGCGTTGCTATGGAAGCACTGGTGCGGAGTGCACTGGGTGACGTCAGGCTCGGCGTAGCCTCCTCCACATGCTGTTGGAGAAAGAAGAATGAGGGTTTTTTTTGTTTTTGTTGTGCCACTTTTCTCTGTGATTTCTTATAAAGAATGATGAATTATATTGTTTTCACAGCTCCCTACGGAGCCTTAGTAACAGGAAATACTGTATAACACTGTAAATACTGTATAACACTGTATGAATTTAGCATCCGGGAACCTTTGTTGTTCTCTTTCCTTCATATCCTGTTGTCTCTTTAATATTGTTAATAACTGCTGAAAAAAATTCACAAAAGTACCGGAATGATGGAAGCCGAGATTGTCCGTGGTTGTAATATTTCTTTCTTTCTATCGAATGTGAACCTTATGATCACAAGTAAAGCCCGACTGAGACTGCATCTTGGTTTTGTCTGCTGTATCTGGTAGGTGTTTAAATGTCTGAAGTCACACCTTTCAGCTCTTACCACGCAGCCAGCCTGACGTCATGTGACAGGAAGTCAGCAGGAGGAGGTCATAGAGAGGATTACCGAGGAGGAGAGCTGGAGGAAGAGGAGGAGGAAACATAGACAGAGACAGAGAGGGCTGGGAGGTAAAAGAGAGAAATACTGCAGAATGAATGAGCATGCACATTCAGTTTTCACAGCATCATCAAGAAAATATCGCAGACAAAAAAAGGAGGAGAAAAAAGATTTTTTTTTCTGAAGGAAATAAAGGAAGTTAAATGCAGAGAAACATCCAAAAGCTGTTAAGGACAGACAGGATGGGGGATATTTGACAGGAGGGGTGAAGGTGCATGTTGTAGACATGTCAGTAGGGGGCAGACTGCAGCAGTTTAGTGTATTTTATTGGGGGCCCCTTCCTCTCTCTTACAGTCATGTCTAAACATGTCATCATGGAAGATCTGGAGCATTTTTAAGGCATCACAGATTCAGGTTTACTTCCACTCAACTTTATGTTTCCTTTGATGAGATATGTCTAACATATATGGTCAATAACTGCTCATGAACATGATGAAGTGCCTGTAAGAAGGGATTTTCAAAAGGGAAATTATTTTATGTGTCAACCTTATTCTCATATTTCCTTTCTGATCTAACTGCTTTTATGTGTCAACCTTATTCTCATATTTCCTTTCTGATCTAACTGCTGTAAGTAATGAAGGTTAAAAAAAAATGAGTTTCAGTTTCAGTGTGTTTACCTGAGGCTTCTGCACTCTGGGACAGCTCTGGCAACTTGTTTCTGAGCACTGCCGGGTTCTGGTACTGTGGGTCCAACAGGAAAACTCTCTCATAGTGAGGGTCAGTGTTGGCGGGGCCTGAGGAAAACAAAAAAAACATGAAATAATCAAGCAAACAAAGCCCAAGCTACCCTGTGCAGGGAAAACAGCTTTGGGGTCTCAATGTGTGAGATGAAAAAACAAGCAGCACTTATCTCAATCTTAGTTTTTAGTAATTTTTATAGGGAAAGAAAGGCTTGTGTATAAATACAATCTCTACAAATGAGGTTGTTCATCCGTTTCTTGCCTTCTATTTGGACTTAAATGTGATGGGCTACCTGTAGGGCCATGGCCGGAGCGGGGGGGAACAGGGGGGGTCTGGAGGATGATGGTGTCACTGCAGGACGACAGCCGAACTGTCACCTCCTCGTCAAGGATCCGACGTGGAGCCTGAAGGACGGAGGGAGAGGAAAACATTTCTTTCAGCATTAAGGAATATGCATATTAATAATCTGTGTGTTCAACTATTCTTAAATAGTCTAGAGACAACAATGATCCACCCCTTTATGCAGGTCATGAAGCTTTATGATTTGTTGTTGTTGTCAACATCTACTTTTACATAAAACTTACATTTCATTATGTTCATGGAGAAATCCAAGCACAGAAGTTAGTTAGGAAAAGGTTGGGAACAGTTTTCTCTCCATTTTTTATTTATCCAACCCTTTCATTTTCTCCTTTTGTTTCTCCTTGTGTAAACATAATAAAGCTGTAGACTTCAATTTAGTTTCCTAAAATGGAAAATAAAAGGCTACTTCTTATTTTGCCTTTGGTTTGTGAACAGCTGTTTAGATTTGCTGCTCTGCTATGATGATTTCAGATTAACATAACAGTTTATGATTCAACAGGTGGCTTGAAGCTGACTTACTGGGAACTGAAGACAATAGATGTATTAGGAAAGTGTTTAGACCACTGAACTGAGAACAATTGTGCTTTAAAACTGTAGTATTAGTGATAAAAGGTCTTTATGATGGCTTCTCATCTCAGTGTCCCCAGGTCAGATCTGTTTTTTCAGATACCACCTGTTGGTGTCCTCAAAGTGACAAATCTTTAAATCCTACAACATAAAGGTCTTTAGCCGGATATCAATTATCTTATATATTGAACACTCCTGGGGGCAGAATAATGAAGAATGTATATCAAGGAAATAAGAAACTCTAATGACCAAAAGCGCATACAATTTAAAATTAATGCTACAGGTTTATCTGCTCACCTTCTCCAGCACCTTGCAGACGTACTGGCACCAGAGGATGAGGAAGATTATGATGACCAACAGCAGAATGATGGTCACCAGGCAGCCAATTAGAATGGGCGTGTTCCTGTCATCTGGCGGGTCACTGGCTGACGGATTGACTGCTGTGGTGAAAGGTTAGAGGTGTAGTTGTTTGTTATTATACTATTGTTTGCAGTTAAATGTGAGGATGGTTTATTGACGTTATAACACATAATATACATTTTAAAGGATCATCTGAAATGAAAAGGGTAAGGTTAAAGGTCAAACCTGTCTTTGGTGTGGTTGACATGGTGCCCTCCTCGTTGACTGGAGTAGGGGTCACCTCCAAGGTAATCTGGGTAGGGAGGACAGTGTCCTCTGAGGAGCAAATGAAGTCATGTCAATTGTCTGTTTTGAAAGAACTGTGAATCTGTGTGTGCGTTTATATAATCATGTATGCATGTATCTCTATGTGTGTGTGTGTGTGTGTGTGTGTGTGTGTCTGTGTTATACCTGACTGAAAGGAGATCTCGCTGAACATCATCCAGACGTCAGCGAAGTAAAAGCGACAGCGAATGGATTTGGCGGTGCGACGGTTCAGCGGCACGGTGACATAGCGGGCGCTCGGGTTTCTGTCATCCAGCACCGTCTTGAACGCCACAGACTCCGCCTCCCAGCCTGCGATGAGGCGGGGCTTAAACCAACAGGAGACAGAGGAGAAGATCTTCACACCGCGGGAGAACATGTTGTTACTGTGAACCTGAACAGAGGGACAGAGGAGAGATTGTATTTGTACGATTAAAAACACAATAAAAACATTTAGTCAGAATATTCATTTTATTTTTAATTGATCTTTTTGTCAACTTTCTGCTGTATTGGTTTAAAGGAAGATTTCCAAACATTTTATTTGAGCCTCACTGCCAGACAAAGTATGTTCTCATAGAGGGTTTCCTTTCAGTTGTTCTAAAAAACTATATTATTACTATATTTGTGATGCTTGAGTTTTCTGTCCATATCTGAAGACAAATGAGTATTATTATACAGTATTTTTAAAATAATAGGCTAAGAAAGATACGATGAGATGAAACTTTGTATCCATTCTCAGGAAGACTTTTGTTCCCAAGATGCCTGGTATCTTGTATATAGTAAAATAAATTTATACATAGTATAAATATCCTTAAAATATGTATACAAAGCATAGCATAAAAATAGCCTACTATAAATAGAAATATATATGTACATAATACGATAAAATACATATGCATTAAAATTAGAAAAAAAAGGCAAATGAAGGAAAAATAGAAGAAAAAATGAAATAAAGGACATGGAAAGTACAAGGATGTTGCATTCACAACAGCAAAGTTTTAATGAGCTGTACAAAAAGCTGAAATCTAGTGTTATTTTTTGTTGGTGCTTAGTAACAGCATATCCATATCCATATTATAGGATTTGCATTTAGCACTGACAGAATAGTTTTATCTTTGTAAAAATAACAACATGCTCATGTTTTACTATCTAGTACAGCAGTTAACCAGTGATGTCAGTGACTGCAGTCTTAATTGGAATAAAATGTTTTTTTCCAGTGCATATTCTGGAGTTTGTTGGTAAAGAATTAATGAAACTGAGTAAAACACACAAGGAAAACATGAATAAAACAGGTTCGTGCAATTTTGGACAGGTTAATGTGGGTTCACCTCCACTTGTTAAAGCACATTGGTGTGCTGTGTACAGTGCAATGTTGATCTGCTCTGAGCAGTCCCTCCGTCAGTGCTTCATTGGGTCTGTTTATTACTGCTATGCGCTAAAAGTTTTAAAATGTCTTTTTAAGCTATGATAATATAAAGTGAGCAGAATTAAAAACCTTCATGGAGGTGAAGTTTCTCTGCCTGTCGAAGACAAACTCCATCTCCACGTATCCCTGAGTTCCCAGCGAGTCGTTCCTCCAGCCCAGGTAGTCATAGCCCGGCCACACGTGGTACTGACGCGTCACCAGGAAGTCATCCTGGCCGATCACACCGTCCGTCAGCTGACCCATCCCCCCGAACAGCCTCCTATTGAATGAGACAGCTGTCAGCCACAGAGAGCAGAGAAAGGGGAAACACTGATGTGTGATCAGGGCGTGTGACTCGCCTTCTCTCATGAACTCCGTCATAAGTGGAGTCGTTGAGGCTGGCAATGGGATAACCAGGCGGCATCATGAGCTGACCCTCCGGAGCGCTGTAGGAGATCAGACCGTCTGCAGGGGGGAGAGGACAGGTTAAAAGGGGAGTATGTGAAGTTTTATAAAATCGACATAATGACATGATGAGGTCTCTTGAATAAACAGTGTTAACCCATGTTATGGAGTTAGCTCACTAGCTTGATAACTGGCAGTTAGCAGTTAGACTGGGCACTAAGAGGCCTTCGGCTCTAATAGTGGCTCCTCGAGGCTGAAATGTTTGTTACATCCAACAGTACACAATCATTGGACAAAACAATAAACATACTTACGATTTAGCTATTCTCATAGCCTTACTAGTAGATTGGGCTGGTGGTGGAGCTAGAGAAAAATCAAAAGGATTCATCCTCTACGGAACAGGAATGTAATCAGTAAACCAGCCATTAGTTTTCAGTGTTACTATAACTTGATATGCTTGATATGGTGTTAGATGTTAGATAGACTGACTAGCTTCATCATCATTTAATGCTAAATGGCTGCATTTATAAAACGCTTCTATCCAAGCAACAACTTGCCTCTCATTCAGGAGGAGCTAGGGACTGAACTACCGACACTGTGATTGCTCTTCCCATTTCAAATTTTGAGGGCCATGCAAATTACAGCAGTTTCCCTGGTAAAACAAATAAACGAGAAGGCTCTGGAGATATGGGACAAACCCGGATAAAACGGGAATGCTGGCAGGTCTGGGAGCTTGCCAGCTGCTGGGACAGGACAGTTTTCCATAATTGATTTAACGGACACATTACAGTCCATGGATAAAAAATATTGAAAGCTCACTGAAAAGTACATAACTCCTCCTTTTTATGTGCTACAATTTAGATAAATCTTCTGCTGCACTTGCTTGATGTGCATTCCTTTGCAAATAAACTGTGTGATAAAATAAAACTGTAATTGCTTTTGGCATTAAATTTGTTGCCATGATTTAGTTTTATTGCACAACTGATTTACAGTGTTAGGTTTAATGTTGCCATTTTAGAAAGAGGAGGTTTCTGAGGAGTTTCCTTTCTCTCAGAAGGGGTAAACATTTCTGAGAAGTGATAAAAGTCTAAATCCAATGACTTAACATCCTCTAATGTCAGCAGAGCTAAAGAACACACACACATTTACAGTGTGACAGTGTGTTTGTGTGTCCTACCCTCCCATGGACAGCCGTAAAGCTCCACTCTCATGCAGACGGTGGTCGACAGTTTGGTGACCGGGATCAGCCGGACGTAGCGGGTGATGATCGGAGGGTAAAGGTCGTTGATGACTGAGGCGTAGGCGTTTTTGTTGCCCTCCATCACCTGGAAACAAATACCACATGAGAAACAACAGGATCAACAGTTGTCCTGAAGAGGGAAATGAGTTTGTACATTTGCGACATGCAGGCCTAAAAACATCCATGTCTATCCATCCTCTGTTATTAAGGTCTGAGAACATTAAGAACATAAAAAGAAGAAACTCAACAGGGATGAACTGAGCATAAGCTAATAAACTTAAAATCTGACTTTGATAAAATTGTTTTACCTTGTGTTACTATATTTATGAAGTGGTCAGTTTTCTACCTTTATCTTTCATTCTCCTATGTCAGTGCTTCCCAACCTTTTTCCTTAAGAGACCCCTTTTCTATCATTGAGTAATCTGACGACCCCTGACTTAGTGACATATTTTAAGAATATTTTGTAAGAAGAGTACAGAACAACTGTTGAGCTGTACAATTAAACCAAACAGTGAACGCAATAACTGCAGGAAGGTCATGTAAAACAAGAGATTTGGATGAATGTTCAGCAGATTATTTCCTGTGAATATGGCACTAGAGAGGAGTTTTCCTGATATTTTTAGTAATGTTTAATACACTTTTCTGTCTGTACTATGTTTAGTTTTTTTAACAGTGATACATACTTCTTTTAGACAAATTCAGTGTTAACTTCTTCCTGATCTTTGGCCATTGTTCTATTAGATCTTTGGTTGTTTTAACTGCGCACTTTTCTAATGCAGGACGAGGCAGGTATTAGAGTGAAGAATAAAAACAGTTTTCTTCACAGAAATGAATGAAATGCTGAGATATAGACCTACTGTATATATTTCTGAAGTTTTCTTACACCCCTTAAAATAAAGAAGATCTTGCAACCCCTCGTGAAGCTTTGAGGACCAGTGGTTGTCCAGACCTCCAGGTGGGGAACCACAGTGCTATGTGGCTGAATAATTTAGGGAATTAATTTAATATTGCTTTAAAATGCTTGAAATTCTTTGTGTTTTATGTCAGTTTTGTTTTACAAATTGGCACAGATCAAAATCAAACTACAACACAGCTCAATGACTTCATCACCTAACCTTGTTTGCTCCTTTGTTGGGCTACCAGGAATCAATCTCTCCTTCTATCTTAAAATAGAAAAGTTTCTGTTCCCATTTGAATCCTTCTGTTGTTCAGCAGAACTCTGTGGTGGTTCTGGGAAGTTCCCAGTTTGAATGTGAGGGAGGGAACTGCTTAGTCCAACAGCCTCAGACAAAACATGACATGGTGTTAAATTTTGTTTGTTTTGTTTGTTAATTATGTTGCTGTAGCTGCCTGGGACCTCAAAGGCCAACAGGAAGCCGGTGTGTAAATGTCATTTCCTCTGATTCGAGGGTGAATGACGAAATGTTCACAATGAAAAAAGCATAATTTTCTTTTCCTTCCTCTTTCTCCCATTCTTTCTGCCGTCTCTCTGTTCTATCACTCCGTCACATGTTTCCGCTCCAGATTTTCTGACATTCTCTCTGCTGCTCAGATTTCTGTCTAACCTCTGTAGTGAAATATTGGGGTCACTCACAGCATTTCCCAGCCGGTTCTTCCAGGACTTCCACAGCAGGCCATCCCTGCTGTAGTTGAGGCGGTAAGCTCGGGCAAACTCGTTCCCAGAGTTCCTGGCGTACCGTCCCTGAGTCCCAACGACCGTGAGGAAGGTCAGCCTTCCCAGATCCACCTGAACACATCAACACATCTGTCAAATTAGTGACCCAAAAAAAAAAGAAGTTTATCTTTGGGCATATTGTGCCAGCCATAAACTTGTGATGACACAGTATTTTGTGTTTGTACCTTTGTTAAATGATTCCCTAAATATTACCTTAATGTCCTCAAATAATCATCCAATTCTACAAAACAAACACACACACACACACTTCAGCCACAACAGTAAACTAATATATCAACCATGTTTACTATTAGAGATGCAACCTAGTGAAGCACAAACTTCACAGGCAGTTGCACAAATCACATTAAATGTATCAATATGATCTGATGACAGAAAACTGACCCATCTCCAGCAAAATTCATATTTCTTATGCTGTTGAACTCCTATCTTCAGTACTGAAATCCATTTTTATTAGTTGAATAAAGGGTTTTACTGAACTTCCTCCTGTTTCACTGACTGAAGCATCACCTTCCTCCTGCAGGCAGGACGCCTCCTCCTCACACATCCTAACTTAACCCCTGATATAAGTGCTTCTTTAAAGGCAGCTGGACTGGCTGGAGATTTTTGAGGACATTTTGCCTCTCATCAGCCTTTGACTTTGTACTTCTTCTGCTTCATCTTACAGACACTGGAACTTGAACTGTCACATACTGGAACACATACTGGTACATCGACATGATTGAACATGTTTGGGATCGTTTCTTTCTTTAAAGCACTGAGCAGACACAAACCTGCAGGTACTGACTGTCTGAAGGCTCCAGCTGCCCCATAGGACACCAGGCGCCCTCTCCCTCCTCATGATTCAACCTGCAAACACACACAGAGTTCAGTTCAGAGTGTCTGCACATGCTGGGAACGTTTGATAAAGTAGATCAAAAACACAGTTAAACGATACACTTCATGTCCTTTTTCAGTCTGAAACATTTTTGTGTCATTTGGAGTTGTGTTTTCAAGCTTTATTTTGGTTAATGTCAGTGGTGAAATTGGAATTACATCACATTGCAGTTCACCCAAAAAAAAAGAAGTGAGGGGCTATGAGAAATTCAATACATTCAGAATGATCTTCAGAGGTTGGATTTTTCTACATGTTATATTTTTCTTCTTATTTGACACTTAAACCAAGTTAAAAATGATTCTGCATGAATACATGGTAATCTCATACCATGTACACTGTGATCAAATAATATTTCTCCACGTATGTCAGAATTAAAATTTATTTGGTTTTAAGATTAGTTATAAAAACTATAAAAGTATCCCGGTCAACTCTGTAAATAGTAAACAGATAAAACATACAAAAACATGAATGAAAGAAGAATAAAGTCAACAGTTATTTATATCTTATTAAATAATAACACACAACATCCCTCTGTCACACTGACCTGGCGTACTGTGGTCCCGTGGTCTCATACCATTGGCTGGATGCTGTGATGTCATCGTCTTTAATCCGTCTATCCTCCATGCCCAAGGCATAGCGACAGTGTGCTGAAAACACAAGAATATAAAACTTAATTGATCTGAATTAGGGCTACGGACCAGGGAAAATACTGCCAGTGTGTGTGTGTGTGTGTGTGTGTGTACCGGGGTCGATCTGTCCCAAGGCTGCTGTGGCTTGAAGGATCAGCAGCAGGAAGAGGTGCATGATGGTCCGCCGATCACAACAACACACACGCTACATCTCTGCGAGGGAGAGAGAGAAGTTTAGGATGCGAGGGAAACTAAATAATGAATTATAATATATAAGAATTATTATACAGTATAATGTAGCTGCTGTTACTGTGTTCACTTTCTCTGATTATGATGCCAGCAGAGCAGAAAGGAAGAGGATGTGACTGCGACAGAGTCTTATAAAGTTAAACTTGTTATCACATTTGTAAGAACACAAAAATATACAAAAACAAGTTGGATGGAAAATCATTACTTTCAATGTCAGGTCAGCTCAGAGTGAATCATCTAGTTATGCAACTTACCAAAGGCAAACAAGTTAGTTCAAATCATCCTCCATTTTTCACAGTTTATTTGAATGGTTTATACTGATTATGTTCCAACACATCTTCAAGCAGAAAATGGATTATTCATCTCTAACTGTGATTTGTGTCCTGTCCTTTGTTTCTACAGCCAATCGGTAGAGCCAAGTATTTTTGCTCAGTATTAATTGAGATCACCTGCCCTTGTCATCGTCAGCTCATGTTTTAATTTTATCTTTGAGAAATGTTGTGTCAATGAGTTATTTCGTGGAAAAAATGAAGTGCAGGAAACCAGAGCTTGAGGCTTAATGACAGACAGATAAAGAGATCCACATGATGTGCAGTGGAGGCTGGAGGGAGGGTTAGGTCCCTCCTTTTAACTACTTCCAGTTATGCCCCTCTCAGAGCTTTTTGTTAACTTCAAATGTGGATGTACTGTGGACTTTTGTTTTCTGAACAGTCAGGAATATTTGAAAATGAAAATGTATAGGCTGTGAATAGTTGCAGTCAAGGTTTATATAAGTAAACTTAATTTGGCTGGAAGAACAATAATAATAATAATAATAATAATAATAATAATAATAATAAGAAGAAGATATACTTTATTAATCCTCTAGGGGAAATTGTTCTTTTCACT